CTTCAGAACATGTCTTTCTCCAAGGACTACGTGTAGCAGGATGTTAATGAGTCTTGCTGTATATTTCTTACATAGTCTAGTTTATCAGATTATTTACTCATCATACAGACTGGCTAAATATGATGAGAGGATACACCTGTGCTTTAAAATCTTAAAAGTTACCCATCAGCATGTAGTTCTGTGTAATAGATACACATTGCATGTGTAATGTCTCATTTTCATTAAATGTGTAGAGTTGCCACAGAAAAATAAGAAAAATTTTAGCAAGGCTTTTCACATACAATCAAAATATTACTGAAGACCATCCACAATCAGCTAGAACAGTTCATCGACAGAACTGTCAGAAGTTCAGACTGGGTTCAGAAGAGGCCATGGCAGTAGCGATATCATGGCTGATTTCAGATGGATCCTGACTGATGGCAGAGAATGCCAGAAGAATGTCTGTCTGTGTTTTATTTACTATGCAGAGGCATTTGACTGTGTGGATTTTAACAAAGTATAGCTAACATTAAGAAGAAAGGGAATTCCAGAACACTTCATTATCCTTATACAAAATCAGGACCTAAACCGAGAAACTGTTGTCCAAACAGAGCAATGGAACACTGGTTGGTCAGAGTTTAAAATCAGGAAAGGTATTCGTCTGGGTCTGTACATTGAGCTAGTCAGTTAAGAAGCTGGACTCGATGAAGGAGAATGTGGCATCAGGATCTGAGGAAGATTTCTCAGCAGTGTGCATTGTGAATCACACAACCTTACTTGCTGAAAGCAAGGAGGACATGAGGTGCTTGCTGCAGAAGATCAAAGACTACAAGCCTTCAATATGGATTACATCTCAGTATCAAGAAAACAAAAATTCTCAACCACTGTGTCAATAAATTGAGAAAAGACTGAAATTGTCCATGATTTCATCTTAGTTGGATCCACACTGCCCTTGGTACCAGCACTCCCAAGATCAGGAGACATGTACCATTGGGAAATTCTGCTGTTGGGAACCTCTCCACAGATGTCCATTTAAAGACTAAGGTGCACCTGATTCAATCCATGATTTTCCCCATCACTTGCTTTCCATCAGAGAGAAGGACAATGGGTAAGGATGACAGAAGAATTGATGTCTTTGACTTGTGTTGTCGGAGAAGAGAACTGATTATCCCATGGTCTGCCAAAGGAAAAAAAACAGATAATGTCCTAGAAAAGGTGCAACCAGAGTGCTCCTTCGAAACAAGGATGGCGAAGCTTCATCTCACATGCTTTAAGCATGTTGTTATTGTTAGGTGCCATCAAGTTAAATATGGCTAATAACCACCCTATGGACAACATGGAATAGCCAATCTTAACAGCATGCCCAATTGGAGAAGGACCTCATGCTTGGAAAAGTAGAGGGTTAGCAGAAGGGAGGAAGACCCTCAACCAGATAGACTGACAATCAGATGACTGCTGTAACGAAATGATGAGGATGGCACAGGACAGAACAGGGTTCAGATCTTTTGTTCTTAGGGTTGACTCCATGATGCCTAACAACAACAACCCAAGAAGTAGGAAGTTTGTAAATGTGTTATTTCTTTTTCCTCCCTGTGTTCCTAAAGTATTTTATATGAGCAAGAATTATTTGGACAATTTTAGAAGAGTAAAAATGAATGTATGTTCTTTAAGACATTTGAAGGTGGATCTCATTTGTGCTGTGACATGAATTTATCCCCTTTTTTAATATTTTTTACTGATTTTTTAAAATTAATGAAAGATTACAGAAGCTTAGGGTTTCCAGTCATTCATTGTTGTACTTTCTCCCTACCCACCCACTCCCCCCTCCCAATTCACTCTTCTTGAAAAGAAAAAGAAAAACTCTTCCATTGTTATGCAATCACTTCCCCTCAAGTCCACAAGAATACCCATTCATATGTCTCTTTTAAACAATTCTCACCCTCATCTGTTTCAATGCAATATATATCATTCTTCCCCTCCTTTTCTGTCTTCCCTCAACCCTGATGTCAGTTCATTTTACACCAGTGGCTCTATGCAATATTTGTTCTTTTGTGACTGAGATATTTCACTCAGCATCATGTCCTCCAGGGTCATCCATTGTGCATAATATTTCATGAGTTCCTTGTTTTTCAGTGCTGCATAGTATTAACATTGTGTGAATATACCAGAGCTTCTCTATCCTTTCAGTTTGTTGATGGGCAAAGTTATCCTTTCATTCATTTTCTTTTTATGTATACCTCTATTTCTAATGTAAGTTACAGAATATCTTAGTATATGCTTTTAAGTTTTCTAAGTTGCTACATTGTCTTTTTAATTTCATTTTAAATAGCTGATGGACACTTTGTTACATGGTTTCTCACTGTTTATTAGAAAGTTTGCAAAGAAGTGAGGCTTCTGCTTCCCTTCTGGGAGACTTCCATCAGCCTTGAGAGACTGGCAGTGACTAAGGAGGCTCCAGTCTGGCTGTCTAATCCTATAGCAGGATTGATCCATCACTTGATGGTATCTTGATTTTTGTCTCCTTCTTAAAAATAGCAAAAGAATTGTTAATCACAGATAGTTTACCTGAGGTAGAATATTCAAAGCTCTTCTGTTCCTGAGAATTCGGGCTGGCCAGTGTAGATTAGGGAACTCTGGTGGCATAGTCCCTCGGGAGTTGCATTGCTAACCCAGCAGCTGCACCTTTCTGGTGGTTCAAATCCCTCAACGACTCTGAGGGAGAAAGATGAGCAGTTTCTAGCTGTGTGGAAACCCAGTGAGGGTCAGCTGTGAGTCAGTTTCAGCTCAACAGCAGTGGCTTTGACTGAGTATAGAACTGTGCCCACATTGTTTTTCCCAGAATACAGAAGCATTGCCAGCTTGCTTAAGGGACTGACTGTTCACTGATTATCTTTGCATGTAAACAAAACATTAACGTTTTAAACCAAATTTGATTTTACCTTCATGTCCAAAGCTTACCTCCTTCTGTATTCATTTATCTATTTATTTCCCTGAATATATCCTTGGAATTCCTTGACCACTCTTCCGTTTGGTCCATTTCGTTTACCTTTGCTTTTCAGTGCCTATTTCTAGTGGCCAGAGTGCTTAGGAGCCCAGAGCTGCAAGATTCCTAATATGAAAATGGCTACTTTCGTACTGCCTGGGGGAGGGGAGATCCTCACTGTTCCACACAGAGCGCTCACTGAGGCTCAGACACCCTGATCCCAATCGTCTCAGTCAAACTCCAAGACACACAGTGTCAACAGTTATAGCAGCCACAAGTTCATTATCTCCTCAGAGTGCAATTACTTGGCTGCCACCTAGACTGGGAGGTTTTTGTGGGCCCCAGAGAACTCATATCCTGAAGAGGGAGACTAATCAAAGCCTGGCTTCTCGGCAGGGACTTTGAAAGGGTGGGTTACAATTGATAGGAGTTTTAATTTGTGAAGACTTAATCTGATCTTTTGCTTTTGGAACAAGATAGTGTAGATGTACTTATTGTCCATTTTCTCTGGGCATACTTGGAAGATTCATTTGATTGTTTGATGATAGTATTGTTATAAGGACACAGAAATTTATTATATAAATCTGCCTCTGTCCTTCACCTGCCTCACTGCCCAGAGCTACTCTCCAGATTATTCGGCCTGTATTGTGAGGGGCAGGGTGACTAATGTCACAAAGGTTATAGTGTTGGATAGACTGGTCTTCTGTTTGCTAAAAGCTCCTGTTGGGGGAGGGAGGCAGCAAGTTTATCATGGAGTACTTATTTCGTAAGTATTGGTACTGATTGGCCCCAGAGCTGACAAAGCTTTGGTTGGTAAAACTGGGTGACATTATGCTTAGGACCATATTCTGACCAGGGACAGAAAGACAAACCGAGGTTGGCACAAGCTCTTCTTCTTTGTCTCTTCTTTTGAAAAGGGGGCCTGAGAAGAGGGGGAGAAGAATGCTTTCCCTTTCCCAGCATGGCTTACCTACTTTTCTTTTGAGGGTAAACATCACATCAAGCTGAGACAGAAGTCTGACTTCTTCAAGATGTGGAAATTAGAATTGGGCAGGGTGACCTTGCCAAGCTAGTAATTGTGTATTCTGGAAATTGAAGGCTAAACAGTGTCCTCTGTCATAAAATTTAGCTTACAGAATTAACTACCACTGCATTATCTTCCGGTCAATTCAGTAAGCTGTCCTCCTTTAGACAGCAGTTCTCAAAGTGTGGTCTGAGGACCCCTGCAGTCTCAGTACCCTCCTGGAGGATCTGTCTGGTCTTCCCTTTGTCCGTTGTATGTATGTGTGAGTTTAGGTTTTCTTTATCTTACTTTATGAGTTGTACTCGACTTGACAGCACCTAGCAACAGCTTTACCAGGAGCAACATAATGCAGATCACACACTCAAACCAACTCATAGCTGACCCTCTAGCTGGTTTTCAGAGGCTATAAATCTCATGGCGGGGGTGGGGGCATTGCCAGTCTTTATTCCATAGAGTGGATAAATATTCTATAAAACAAGGCATTAAAATGTAAAACAGTGCCATTTTTCTAGCTAAGACTAAACTTTTCTGGTATGCGGCTTAAAGAATAGTACTACCTATATCCAAGAATTCTTGGAAGAATGAAATGTGATAACAATCTATAAAGTACCTAATGCATGGCAGGTAGTGGTAAGGATACAGCCTTGTGCTTTTCCTGGCCAGTAGCCCGTTTTTTTTGTTTTAAATCAGATCACACACTCAACTTGGGGTGGGGGGAGGCGTGGACAGTGAGGACTTGGAGTCAGCCTTGAGTCCATACCCTAGTTCTGACCCCCTCCAAACCCCCATCTCCCCATGTGCCTGGGCATGCCAAGTGGTTACTCTGGCCTAACCTTTTCTAATTGGTAAAAACATAGCTGTGTCTGTTCTGCCTGTTTCACATAACTGACGATCCTTAGATTCATTGAGGTAGCAAACAGGAAAGCGGATGCACAGGCGTCGGCTTTGTGAAAGGGCTCTTAGCATGCAGACAGAGGTTCTCCTTTTGACTCATGAGGCTGTTCTTCTCTCCAGGTTACCTGTGCATGACTGACGAGTGGTTCTCCCAGTATGTCTACGAGGTGGTGGTGGACAGGAAGCACGTCCCTGAAGACGTGCTGGCTGTGTTGGAGCAGGATCCCATCGTCCTGCCAGCCTGGGACCCCATGGGAGCCTTGGCTGAGTGATGCCACCCTCCACGTCCTTCCTCCTCCCACGGGACCTGAAGTAGCTGCAAAGGGACTGAAGCCAAAGTTACGCAGGCGACTGTGTGTTTTTCCAGAACATAGTCAGACTCTCAGTTTTCCAGACTCCTCCAGGAACTTCTTTGGGAAAGTGTGCTTTATGTCGAAACAAAATAGTCTTAAAGGAAAAAAAACCCAGAAGGATCAGATCATACTGTCTACTCTCGTCATCTCCAACAGCTCAGGATCTCTTAGCATTTTAATCACATGTCAAAATGGTTCAGTTACATGTCTGTGTTTTCATAAGATGGGGAAAAGGGAGCAGTTGGTGTATGAAAAGAAAATGGACTTTCTGCTCCTGGTTCCCGGAGCAGAGCAGGGGAGGCACGCACCCCACCATTTGAGCTCTTAGCACAGAGGCTACTGGGCAACTTCGCTGTCCTCCCTGGTGGTAGTCACTGAGCAGAGTTGTTTCCGGGGCAGTCTTGATGTGCCTCTAGTAGCTTGATAATAACGGGTTTCTTTGTTTGTATGTTTTTGTTTGTCTTGTTTTCAAGTCCGGAGTGGGAGGTTGATCACGGCTGACATGATTCCTTCCTGTTGTCCTGAACTGTGGGGCCCTCAGCTCTGCTGGAGTCAGTTGTGAGGAGAGGCTTAGGGAAGGCTGGGTGGGAGAACAACCGAAACTTTATCATGAGCTGAATTGTAAACATTAGGGGGAACGCTAACCAAATGGTTTTAACTTCTGCCTCAGTTGGGGGGTTTGGGCAGGCAGGAAAAGGTGGGATCCACTCTTTCTGACAATTAGATGGTGCTGAGAAGCTTTTGAATAAAACACTTTGCTAAATGAGAATGCATTGCCTATTTGATCTGCCCCCAAAAAGTTTGTTAGCCACAAAGGAAAACAGTAAGGTGCTGACCTGTGTTCTTCAAAGGGAAAATCAGCCGGGTGGTTTGGGGCACCTCTGCTTTGGCTTCTCTGCAGAGTATGTGATCCTGCATCCTGTACTGACCCCACAGATATCCAAGCATCGTATCTAAGAGGACTTGTGCCCTCCCACATAAGGATCTTTCCACTCACTGCTGTAACTTCACACTCAGGGTGCCTGTAGGAATTGAAGGTCTGTTAGTCCAGCCTTAAATTGGGTTGGGAGCATATGTTTTTTGAGACTGAGCCTGTCCTTCAGTGAAAGCAAATAAACAGAGTCCCATGGTCAGTCAGCATTTCCATCAATGCTTGAGCTCATCTGACTCTCCAGGAGACCAACACAGTCCTCAGCAGGGAATGTTGTTTGTCTTAGAGCTTCCAATAAGCATCAGCTTTAACCAAATTATTTAGTTTTTTAGAAATTTTATTTCTAGCATGAGCTTCTAGACTTAAGATAGATTGATCCAGCTCTAGAATCATGGTGAAACTGCAGAACAGATCTTATGAGCTTCCAGGAATAAGACAGATTGCCTCAAAAGTGAAACATTTAGAGTGACAGCTAACTTCTTATCGGCATCTCTGTAGACCAGAAGGCAGATTTGTCTTCAGAGTGCTGTGAGAAAGTAGCTGCAAACTTGAAATTCTATACTAAACTGTCTTTTGAAGAACAAGAGTGACATTTTCAATCAAAAACCGATTTCACCTCTAATACAAGGAAAATAATCCCATATAGACAGTTCAAGATAAAGAAGTAAAGCAAAAGAAGTGATAAACATTTGGATCATCTCCAAAGCATCTAAATAAAAGTTAATGTAGAAAAGTCTTGGATAAAAATAGCAGATAATTGGAGAATTGGGGCGCTCTGGTGGCCTAGTGGGTATGGAGTTGCTCTGTTATTCCAAAGGTAGGAGGTTCAGATCCACCAGCGGCTCAGCAGAGAAAGATGGGCAATAATGTCTCAGATGATTTACAGCCTCTGAAAACCCAGTGGGTAGTCTCAAGTCTCTTTGCCTCAATGGCAATGAGAGAAATAATAGAATTCATGTATCCTAAGATCTTTGTGTCAGTTAGAAGGGAGAGAAATGCAGTGATTAACTTTGGTCACCATGAATGGCCCAGCTGTTCAGAGCATGCCACCTCTCAGTTCTGCCGTTCACCCAAAATGATGATGTACATGGCCTTATGGAGTTATACAATACAGGGACCCGGAAGAGCTTTTTTAAAATAGGCTAGAGATAGTCTCACATAATGATATGTTTAATTCTCCAGGAAAAGATAAGATTTTAAAGTAGCATGCACTTAGTAACATAGCCTTAAAAGAAACAAAGCAAAAAGCTTTATTCCTCAGCAAGTGCTGACCTCTTGACCTCATGAGTTGATCATTCTAAGGCACAGGCCCCTCCTGCTGGTTGTTATTTCACCTCATAGGCCTGTCTGTTATTGGGCTGAAAGTGGAGCTACTGGGGTAAGTTTTCTTCCAGATTTGAAGGGTCAGTGAGGGCCATAATCTTGGGGCCCCACTGCTCTCTAACAGACCAGTAAGCCAGGCTATTGTTATGGTTTTGTGTTTTGTTTTCACATTTTTCTGTCCTCTCTACCCAGGACTTATCTCCTGGAAGTTATTTTAGGGGTGTCCACAGTGGTAGACAGACACCATCTAGTTCTTTTGGGTTTAGGGTCATGAAGGTTGAAGTTCCTGGTGCCCTTTAATCTTTTAGACGAATTGTTTCTCTGCATCTTTCATTTTCTTCCCTTGTCTTTGTTCTGGACAAGGTTCAAAGGAAATTTGATAGTATTTAAAGTCCAAGGTACAGTTAGGTCAATTGACAAAGTACAGTCCATAATATTCTATGTCCTGGTGATTAATATCTGAGGTTTTAAAGTTTACAAAGGGCTAAGATACAACTATTGGTTTCTTCATCTGAGGCAAATGAGACAAAGGAAAATGAAGACTCAAGGAAGCCATGAATCCAGAGGACACCAATCAGCCTGCTGGCAGAACTAGAACTAGATGGTGCCTGCCTACCATGGCCAACCTGTCTGATCAAGGCCACAAATAGAAAGTCTCAGAATAAGTAAAAAATGTAGAACGAAATGGAAAATAAAACCAGATTTGCTGGTTTAAAAGAGACTAGAAGAACTAAGACAACCTTCTAACTTGAAGCTGAAGACACTTCCATTGCACATCTTTCATTCAAACAATACATGAGATTGTAAAACGTGCTCCATAGTACGATCAGCTATCTAAGAACAAAAGGGCAACCCTTGCACAGAACCAATGATGAGAAGAGAGGAGGGACAGGAAAATCGGACTGATGGAAACCAGAAACCCAGGGAAGAAAGGAGGAGGGTGCTGACACATTGCAACATATGTCATGGAACGATTTTTGTGTGAACTCTTGATTGGAAACGAATTTACTATGTAAACTTTTATCTAAAGGACAATAAAAGAGTGGGATTTTTTTAAAGTGTATTAAAATAGGGTAGCCTAGTGGCAAGAAGCTGTGCTGCAATCCGTAAGGCATATGATTTGAGGCCACCAGCTGCTCCACAGAAGAAGGCTGGGCATTCTCCTCCCACACGATTAACTGCCTCTGAAAACCCCCAGAGGGTCAGCTGTGGGTTGGTTCTGACTCTATGGTACACAACAACAACAACATTAGAATATAAGATCTATTTAAATTTTTCTAGAATGTAAGAAAGACTGAAGATTACTAAACTAGCCATCTATGTCAAGAAAATGGAGCAACAAATATAAAGAAAACAGAAGGTAATAAAGATAGATACAGAAATTGAACACAAGGCAGATTGACAAGGCCCAAATTTGGCATGTGTACACATGCACAGATACTGTGGGATTTAGAAAAAGAGAAGATACAACTTACCTACAGGGATTTGTGTAGAAAAGATAAACCTAGAAACTTCGTGAAAAATGGGAGCTAATGCAATTTTTTTAAGCTAAACGGCTAATGGAAACATTAAGATGAAGCATTGCTGAGAAAACTGGATCCTGAGTGACCTGAGGTGTGGAAAGCCTATAATATGCAAAGCCCTTGGCAACAACATCTATGTTGTTCGGTTCTGCTCAGGCAACCATGACTCATAGCCACCTTATGATGAACAAATCTGAACCTTGCCCTGTCCACTGCCACCCTCCTGACCTCTCCCATGCTCGGCCCGTTGTTACAGTACCATGCCAGTCTGTCTTGTTGAAGATCTTCCTCGCTTTCTCTGACCACCTACTTTTCCAAGTATGATGTTTTTTTCCAAAGACTCTTGACAACATGCCCAAAGTATGTGAGGCGAAGTTACAAAATCAGTGCCTCTCAAGGAGCACCCTGGCCTTGCATCATCCCTTAAATGCTCAGATTTTGTTATGTGCTTGAGTTGGAGCGACCCCATATACAATAGAAGAAATCTCTGGGATCCTACCCTGTCCTCACAATCTCTGCTGTGCGGAAGCCCATTGAGTACCCACTGTGTCAAGTCATCTCCTGGGGGTTCCTCTTCCCTTTTGTTGACCTTCACTTCTCCAAGTACAATGTTCTCCAGGAACTCCCCTGATGACATGCCTGAAGTATGTGAACTCAGACCCACAGCACCGAATAGCATTTCCCCAGCCTTGGGAGTAGGAAGGCTGCAGAATGATAGAGCAAACTCATTAGAATACCTGCCTTCTCCAATCAGTAAGCAGTGAAGTGACAGCCACTACCTCATGTGGCAGATGAGAGTCCATTCTCTGGTGAGGAGATCAGTTTATGGTGTGGAGACCAGAAGCATAGCTGAGGGTGAAAGTACCATAAGAGATTGTTGTTGTGTGCCGTCACATCAGAACCAACTCACAGCTGACACTCCAGTAGGTTTTCAAAGGCTGTAAATCACATGGAAAGAGCATGTCCATCTTTCTCCCATAGAGTAGCTATGTATTAGAGTTAGTAGTATATTAGAATAAGGGGATTAAGTAACCTTTATAGTCTCAATGCCCTTGCCCATAATGGGCTCCTAGAACTCTGGAGACTAGGACGTTGGATGTCTTCTCTGGGAAATCTTGATTAGCACAGGAAGAAAGATCTAC